CCTTGATCTAAGGTGTATATATTACTAAAGTATATCCTTGTCTGGAACAATAGGTACGTTTAAATGCGTATATCTCCACTAACGTCCTTGTGAGTAACCTGTACCGTTGACGGTTTGTCTGAAGGATGTTTAAAAGGGACTAAATCAAATGAAATTTCAAACAATTTCGACAGAGAATACGTAAAATTATGGGGGGAAATATGACTTAGAAGGAATATATGCATGAGTAATCCTGAATTGTTCTGATTAAGTGTTCCCATCAAGTTTAGACGTCGGTACAGAACAAAGGATCGTCTATTATATTCTAGTTTGTTTAATCTGTGTTTAAATTGTCTTTGGTTCCTAGATTGTCTGGTAAATTATACAATAAAAATGTACAAACAACATCTACGAGCTTCATAAACAGGAAAATAGCTAGGCTAGAATAACAAGAAACGCTGATATGTTCTTCTGTTTCTTAGGGAGTATAACTTTTTTCTCCAGAAAACGTAATTTTAAAGGTTTTTTATTAAATGAAAAAAAAAAACAATGGCCCAAAATGTTTGACTCTTTATTTATTCCCAATAGTAGTCTTTGAATGACAACAAAATCGGCAATGCTCAAACGAGGCGCGAAACGTAGTTCCTCAACTTGTAATACTATCGTTGGTTATAATAGAAGCAGAATGCAGGCGACGATATTTGTCAACTACAGGAATATAACATAAAATTACTTGTACAATTGTATAATAGTAAAACAGCTCATTACAGGGTAGATATTACATCAGGCATAGTACAATGCTGTAAGTAAAACACATAACGTCTCCTGAAGAAAAAGTAATCTCTTAAAAAGAACTTAAATACTTGTTCGATTTATCAAAGTATGCCCTATACAACTATTTAATTGTGATCGATCGTACAGGACGGATATTAACATACATGGAAATCCCAGCAATTCCAATGTTTTTATTTGCACACAATTAATCTGAAACAGACATTGCATTTCCAGTTTGTAAGAGAAAGAGATATTGATTTGAAAGCTATGTTTTAACTAATCATTGTGGCATGCATGAAAATCATACTATAAGGTTATCTGCTGCTGAAAAACCTTGATCCACTTCTGAGATATACAAGAGAAAAATGGAGCATGGGTCAATCGAATCGAATATTAAAATAAGTAATAGTCGCATTCAAAGCAAAATAAAATCCAATATGACTATTAATACTCTGATATCCTGATATCACGCCCTAATCTTAGTCTAAAGTCCTATTATTATATGCATGCCCTTGGCTCTGTGAATAAATGTGAATTATCCAGATGTCTGTTTGGTTATTTATGTCTACGGTTCGTGAGCATTTATTTCACATTTAATTAAGGAAGCAGATATACAATGAGATCCTTGTGGAGTCAAAAAGAGGATTTCAGTTCATTTGAACATCTTATTCTACATTCATTTTTGTAGCAGAAACAGTAGGTATGAATGTTCAAGAATTAATAATATCAACTTTGGGCATCTCTGTATATTTCTCTCTTTGAATCTTTTTTTCTGTAATGGAAATTGTTGTCCATATTTTGCAGTGGTGTTTACTACCTATACTATCTATGACGTTGATTTTGACTTAAAGTGGTGGATATTCAAGTGCATGAACGCAGACAACAACAACATTAATGCAAGCTTTTTCAGTTGTAGCAAACACAAAACGCTTTCCAGGAGCATTTAATTTGTGATTTTCAATCTTCATTTAACTTTAGTATATAGGTTTAGATATACGAATTGTTAATGTAGTTTCCTACATCCGCACGACATTTGGTCTCTGATGAATAGTTGTTATATAAACGATGAAACCGCATCTTCTTATTTTTTATCATTTCAAAGGAAATTTCGAAATAATCAACCAGATTCATGAATTAAAAATCGGATGATTTTCATCAGCTTTTTCTTCTCTGTGCCAAGATTTGTAGAAAGAAGAAAAAGGAAGAAGATGCTGATAACATTATGACATTCATTCCAATTAAGTCTAGGTGTTGTACAACATTTCATAACGAGATGTAAAAAAATGTTAAGGACTTCTGTAATTATTGCCACAACCTTGAATATTCATCTTCCAAGAATGTGGAGTGTTTTTGTTCAATATCAACGTAAAAACCAATGTATGCATAACCAAAAAAATATCGTATAGGCTTTTTAAAGGGCAAGATAGAATATATAATTCATAATTATCAAAATTCGGATGTTCTTGGGCATTAGTGTATACTAAGTATAAGTAAATTAATAAAGTAGTCTTCAGTTTACGTGTACTGTTATTTTTGTAACATTCAACCGTCCCTAAATAAACAAGAGTGCACACGCTGAAATGTCTCGCCTGTTTTACTGACCATTGATTTTATGTTGAGTCTTAAAGATAAAGGTCTTACTACAAGTAACACATAAACTTCACATCCATGACAATGAGGTCAAGGTCAGATAAAAACTGTCACACAGACATGTACACCTTGCAATTATTCCATACACCAAATATAGTTGACCCTTTGCTTATGGCAATTGAAAAACAGACCAAAACACAAAAAATTTACGTTAACCAATGAACCATGAAAATGAGGTCAAGGTCAGATGATACTGGCTAGAGAGACATGCACGCCTTACAATCATTCCATATACCAATTAAAGTGGACCTATTCTACTAGTATTTGAAAAACAAACCAAAACACAAAACTTAACATTTACCAATGAACCATGACAATATGGTCAAGGTCAGATGACACCGGCTAGACAGACATGTACACCAGGGATGGGCACGATTACTGACAAATGTTTAAAGGATTTTGGTGCAATCGATTAATAATCGATTACTCTGATATGTGTATGTAATCGATTGATCGATTACTTTATCAAAAGTAATTACATTACTTTTCGATTACTGTCAATTACATGATACACAATAGTATAAAAAAATAACAAAGAAAGTTAAACACAAGTATGTTGTTCAACGTATTTATGGTGGAAATTTTGAACATTACAAAAACAACTTTTAAAATCAGAGTAATCGATTATTAATCAATTGCACAAACATCCTTTAAAATATTATGTTGACACTTGTTTTCTGGATGCATCCAGGTCTTCTACCTTCTGAAATATAAAGCTTTATACAAATAGTTTACGCCGCCGCCGCCGCCCGATAGTAATACTATGTCTCTCATACGACAATTCGTGTTTTATATTAAAAAAACCCCAAACAAAACAAACAAATATAGATTCGAAGTTAGATACCAAGTTCAGAATATGTTAATTGTCGGTCGGCGTTCTTGCACTTGCATATCCGCTACCTTAAGATATGTTTATTATTAAAAAAAAAGTCGTAGAAACATTGCAGTATGACAGAAGCAATGACCATGGTAAATGTGTTTAAAAATTCCCATTACAGAAAAAAGAGAAAACTATTTAATAAGGTCGAAGGGACATAACTAGTATCTGCATGTTGATGTTAGTCTCCAAAAACTGTTCTAAATTAAGCAACGGAAGATATAGTTTTAAGTTGGGGCATGATCAGTTGAGGAGGTCACTTGGACCTTATAGGCAATATTTTACGGACCACTGTTTTGCTCTAGTTTATTAAATGCATATTTAGAAATAATCCCTTTGTCTCCATTAAATTTGAGCAAAAACAAAAATCACTCAAAAAAACGAAAGACAAAAGACAAAAATAAAAAAAAAAACAAAACAAAACAAAAAGATAAACTGATTACTTCTATATTTATAACCAATTAACAGCGGGAAGTAATGTATTACTCCTTCCCATTACAAACACACACAAACAAACTGACAAAATAAAAACAGGCGTGTTCCCCGTTTTCTAACCTGGAACAGATATAAATCTTACCACTCTTTAACAAAATGCTGATTAATTTATCAGTTTACTGGAATTACCCTAGTTACTATTTCACTGATATATTGAGAGGTTGATGTTTATGTGAATATTTTACTATTTCTAATAAACTTTTGTAAATCATGGAGGACCGTTCCAGGAGCAATCATTCAGTTTTCAGGGTGCATTGAAATAACAGGGGTCATAGATTTCTTCCTTGAGCTCAGTTGGTAGAGCGGTGGATTACTATGCCAGGGGTTCCGGGATTGAATACCAGCTAGTACAGTTATGGATTTTGGAAGACAAATCATGCTGTCCGGTTACAAAATCGGCGCCCAACAAATTACACAACGGTTAGAAGAAATACCTAGCCAGGGGAAGTGATGAGGATATCGTCATTATAGTATAATGATTCTTGAGGTGGAGGAAGTGTCGCGGTGCTTCTCATTACCTAGTAGATACATAGTACATAGCAGCCGTTAGCTGCGCTAGTGGATTACTCCTTTAGCTCAGCTGGTAGAGCACATGCTTACTGTGTCAGGGGTTCCGGGATAGAATCCCAGCTGGTACAGTAATGAATTTTAGAAGGCAAATCCTGCTCCCCGGTAACACCTGTATTCATATATACATGTTTATAAATCCCATGTTTCCCTGTTTATATGTATAGGACTCGGAGGTGCAATGGGGACGCAGGCTGAAATGCGATGGTCTATATGACGCGTGTAGGTACTAGTAGTTTAAGTTCTACAGATGTGGAATTATAATGAGAATTGGATATTTAGTTGGTTAGTATATAATTTGCATTCATTATTATCCATAAAACAGTTATGGCATGTTGGTATCGATATTATATAGATATAAGAAGATGTGGTATGAGTGCCAATGAGACAACTCTCCATCCAAGTCACAACATGTATGTATATGGTTGAAACTACCACGATTTTCAGTCATTAATACTTGTTCTAAAGAAAAATAACCTTTGCACGTAGCAACTATAATAGTGGTCAATTCATGAACGATTGTATGATCGTTTAAAAAGTAAACTACAACGTTACAGTTATGACTGGAAATGCAACAGACGTTGGTATACTTGCCGTAATATTCAAATCAATAATGTACAATCCACCTTCAAGTGTCAAGTACTGGTATTTAACTATGAAAGTTTTCAACAAATTTATTAGTTAAATCAACATTGTTAAATTATTATCACAGAATAAACTATAGGGAATTTGAGCAAATGAACAACATTCAGTCATTCAAATATAAGCACAATAAAATAAATACTGCTAGACACTGCGTTTTGGCGTTTTTTGGTGGCCGTGTAAGTAATATAAACCTTTCTAAGCAGGTAAACAATGAACATTGCTCAACAATAAATATACATATTAGAGAAGAAGCATTTCATGAAAAGACCTATCTACTTTTTTTTTCTCAACACTACATGTAAAATATTAGGTTAAGGACGATCTTTACGATGTATTGATAATGCAGCTATTCCTGAATTTAAAACAAAAAACAAGTCATAAACGCATATCTTAGCTGGTACATAATATGAATAAAACGATTTTGTAGGCATACGATAATAACAAGACATACTAGAATATTCATTTTTTCCGGTGTCACTATTGTTCCTCAGCCATGAACATGCGCCGAAATTCAAAATGACCCTCCCCGTTTATCCGAATTTAGACACACTTATTGAATGGAAAAGATCTGACATCAGCACTAAATTCAGCAGTATTTTACAGTAGTGTGTTCTGTATCATTACATTATAATATATATAAAAACAAATTGTTGAAAATTCAGTTCTCTGTGCAAGTTATAAAATTGTTTCATTTTGTTTTTGTTATATTTCCAAGTTACAAAATAGGAAATATTTGTTTTGGGTGTTAAATAATTTGTTTCTTCTATTGCTAAGGTTTGTTTGTTTTATGTACAATAGAACCATTTATACATTTTCACTTCATGATATTTAAAGTGAAAATCTTCAGACTATACGATACGAAATCACAAAATTATTTTCCTATAAATAAGAATGAAATGATTAAAACTTAGTTGATTTCATATCATCGAGGTAAAAATGTGAAATATGTATACTACTCTGGCTCTAATTTAGCATTAGGAATGGTTAAAACATGTTTAACTTCAGTAGTCTCCTCTTTTTCTGTTATAAATGTCGTACTTTTCACTTGATTTTCTATATTATCACTAGTATTGACGTCATGTGTCTCTGCGATCGTGATGCTATTTCCGGAAATGCCTTTTACGACCTCGCGTACTTCCGTACTTTTTGGTTTAGCTTCACCAGTCACTTTCTGTCCTTCAAGACTGCTTTCGTTATTTTCCTCTGGTGAAACTGTTTGGTGTATTGCTGCTGATGCGCTTGTATCGCCATTCTCTACCTTATCATAGACAACTGCAGTTTCCTTTGGATCACTTGTAAGTTGAATAATTTTAACCGACATTTCCAAGTTTTTAGTTTGAGTATCTGATTGGTCAGTATCCTTGTTACATTTCTGTGTCATATCTTGAGCATGATCAGTAGTCTCTTCCGGTATAGGAGATTGAAGATTTTCTGTCTCATCTTTCACTGATAACTGTCCTACTGGCGTTGGAGGAGGTTGATTTATGATGGAAGAATCGTCCGGGATATTACGAGATTTCTTGTATTTCATTGTTGGTACAGACACGCCAGTCACACTTGGAAGAATGGTTTCTTTTTTCTGTGGAGGGGGAGATTTAAATCCTTTCAGCGTAACGATGACGCCTTTCCCTACAAAATAAACAGTTATTTTAGGTAAATAGTTTATTATAAAATTACATTCATAAAGTTTAACTGGTACTATTACTTTTTACATTAATATAAAAGTACGAAACTTATATAATTTCTATTTACTGACAATATTTAAACGTCATTTTACACCTTTAGATAAACTGAAATTTCATACAAACAATTTAAAAAAACATATTGCCTTAAATGTGTCTTAGTAAAATATGAAAAAAAAAAGAAAAAAAAAACTCATTAACTGTCAAAATTAAAATTCATGATGTATTATATATTTTTTATGAAGAAAAAAATCATTTAAACTGAAATAATTTACTTCAGACACAAAACACTATAGCATACATACAACAATATACAGTAAGCTTAATTAGAGGCTGTCAGTTATAATGAAATACAGTTTTGTTAAGCAATGCAAACATAAATTTTTTGGGTTTTTTTCATAATCACTACTTCCTTGATTTCTTCTTTCACACATCTGTCTGTGTGTTAGCTATTAAAATCTAATAATAAAATCGTAGAATTTAAACTTATCTAACATGAATGAGAACCAAAGAGACATTTTTTTTAAAAACCTTATTGTCAAGTACAATGTTCCTGATTTGAAACACCGAGGTTGGAAAAAACAGGTAATGGGACTGGTTTGAAACATTGAGGTTTGAATAAAGCGAGAATTTGACTGGTTTGAAACATTGAGGTTTGAATAAAGCGAGCATTTGACTGGTTTGAAACATCAAGGTTGGTATGTGACTGGTTTGAAATGACATTGATACAGAGTACAAAACTATGCATGAAGGCAATTATATTATGCATGTCGGATTTTCACACTATTAGAATTGATAGGAATGTGATATATTAGATATATTTTGCAATTGTAAGTTAGCAGCACACAGAACAATCAGTAAATATATAAATCAAGCGCAGTAAAAGCAAGGAGATATGAACAACCATTATGAGACATTCTAACTAATATATACATGAGGCATTAGGCAGCTAGCTAGCCTACCGAACTGTCACAATGATACCTGTTATAAACAACCCATTTTGCAAAAATATTAGTTTTTCAACCAAATTGTTGTTAACTGCAATATTTTCTTTGTTCTCACTTTCATCTTGCATTATATTTATGGAAGGACCGATGGAATCAACTCGTGCACTTCGGGGACGACCGCCAGAGGGCGTTGAGGAAGATAGTAACCTTTTAGAAGGCGCGGTTGCTGGTCTTTTTTGTTTTGTCTCTTTCTCGTCTGTTGTTTCGTCATCATCAGACCGAGGTGTATCTAAAATAAATATATGCTATTGTAATTTACTACAAACATAATACTATACCTTTATTGGTACATATTGTAATACATCTCAAATTCTTCATTCGAATTTACATCATTAGCTAGATATTTTAAATGTCAAAAATAATATTTATAATCATTAAATCGAATAATGCATTTCATAACTATTAAATCGAATAATGCATTTCCCGTGCAAATAGTGTAAATTCAATGAATATTAAAAAAACTAAATCGGTTAAGCACAATCAAACCATGGCTATTTTGTCTTTTCACATGAACATTTTAGTGTTAACCAGATTTGTTTAAAAACGGCTCTGTAGGAACGAAAACACATGGCAACCTCAAAATAGACAGGCATCTTGCTCTCATTATATATAACTATTATATATCTGTGTTAGTTTGCAATTCATATGTAGTATTTGATTTAGCACCGGGAAAACACTTTTGTGCACTAATAGCGATCTATTTTTAGTACAACGACCTTAACCTTTGATGTATTGGCCTAAAATCATTAGGGATTTTTCTCTAATAATATTTGACTATGTATCTAGGTAAGGTTGCAATCCAATGTTTAGCATTTGATTGAGCATCCGGAAAACACTTTATTGCAAAAATTTTGGTCTATTAGTAACTTCGACCTTGACCTTTGATGTGGGAACCTCAAGATCAGTAGGGGTCTACCTCTCTTTATATGTGACAATATTTGAAACTGAGGTTGCAATCTGATATAAAGTATTTGAGTAAGCATCCGGAAAGGAATTGACTGGCGGACTGACAGACAGACTGACGGATTGACTGACTGACAAACGGAACAAAACTTTATGTCCCGCTACTTGGTAGCGTGGGGTATAAATATGCAATGCAATTAAACACACTGACGTCATTCGTCTCACTCCTTCGGAAAATAAACAGTTAACCAGGAAGAAACTACAAACAACAACAAAACATTAGTCGATAAACAGGAAGATATTCCTTAACCTTGTGATGTCAGTTCAACCATACAAGACATGTATGTAATAAACAAACTAACTAACTCATATTCAGTATAAAATTCAACACAAAAGGATCATCGCTGAAATACATAGATATGTATAAACAACTTACTAATAGTCATAGCAAAACTGGTGCCGAATCACAGGAGGAAGATCCCAATGAGGAAGGTGATCTGTCAGCCGTCTGTCGGCTGCAAAATCCCTCATGGTTCGTAAATCTTATTTACAATTGCTTTGAAACAAAATAACTGGGTTTACTGTTTCAATAAAATGAATGAAATTAAATAAATAAAAGTCTACTGCTACTGGCTATAGCTTTAAAGTCGTATGATGGATTAGTAGTAGTCTGGGCACCTGGTCTCCGTTCGAATTGAGTTTGTATGATACAAATTGATGGTTTATTTGTGTCTTTTGACATTTGAACATCGGTAAACTGTATTTGTTAAACCCACCAACAAGCATCCGTCACGATTTGATAGAAATTGTATACTAACCAGGTGGGGCACCAGGTGATTCCTCGTTACGTAATCTAGACATTGCTGGGCCACTCATAAAACATTCAAGTGGATTACTACGAGGCATGTACACACCATACACATTGAAACTCTTCACATCCATTAAACGGGCCCTGTAATATTTGTAATAATACATTCAAGTGGATTACTTTGGGGCATATACACATTAAACATTTAAGCTTTTCACACTGTCACACGCGTTCTGTAATTTTACTGCTTAAAAAAAAATACTGATGATGTCATTGCTGTGTCATTTTGTTGGGCTTCTGTCACACTTATATCAAGCATCTGCTTTCATTCATAATGAAGATTCTCATTTTGTTTACTACTGTTCCTCTTTTTGTTAAGTAGTTTTGTGTATGTGTGTGCTGTTTAGTGCTAACATACAGATTGCAATACAACTAGAATTCTGTATACAAATCTAACTGCTCTTACCGTGTACCCTTCTGTAGTATGAGCTGTATGTATATGGGTTTTGATACTCAGTCATGTGTACTTGTGATTTAATACTCCATTATGTTTTTTTTATTTGATACTTAGTTATAGAAAAAGGTAAAATGACAAAAATACCGAACTCCAATGAAATTTCAAAACGGAAAATCCCTTATCAAATGGCCAAATCAAAAGCTCAAACACATGAAACGAATGGAAAACAATTGTCATATTCCTGACTTACTTTTTATCCGTAAAAGGAGTTCCTATGGGGAATTGCATTGTCTATATTTACAGAAGTACAACCTATAGCTTAACCAAAGATAAGCAACGCTTGAATATCCATGAAGTAGATATCCTAACAATGCTCTTCTAGAGGAATTATGATTAAGTGGATCAAGTTTTTATTTTGGTCGTATTACTCTTTGACATGTACGTTACTATCGACTAGTTTTAGATATGTTTATCTTATATATTGATCATACAATATCTAGAATATTTATTAATTTTTCATTGTTTATAAAAAAATACCTGTTATATCTTGCACCGGTCAAGAAGGCATGGTTAGATTCTCCTTCAACAGATAAACTTATAGTAGATGGTCTAAAAATAGAAAACAAATATACATGCATTTATACATTCAAACAAATACAAATAACTAAACCACAATTAAATGAAAAAAAATGGTAATCTATAAGTTCTTTTTGTTTGTGTAATTAGGGCTCTTCGATATATTTCCATTTCCATCTAGACCATTTGTCGTAAATATAAAACACACAATAAAAAACACGTAGTCTAGTTTCCACGGTCATATGGTTTATGCAGATACCTAAACAATATCACGCGACACTTACTTTCTACTCAAAGTCTGACTTCAATGGTTTTAGACAGATACAAAAAAGATATCGCGTGATACTTACTCACATCTCAAAGTTTGGCTTCTATAGTTTTAGACAGATGTACCTGAATAATATCAAGTGATACTTACTCTCTGCTCAAAGTCTGGTTTCCATGGTTTCCACATGGTACTGTAACAAAAATTATACCTTTTTAATTGTCGCCTTAAACAAAAATACAGATTTTCTTAAAATTTTCTATACAAAGACTACAAGCTTGGCTCTTGTTGTATTGTGAAAATAATGACTTGAAAAATGTTGTACTATAGATATATATATATATATATATATGATAAGTACTTCTAAACAAGTGACAACTCTACGACAGAGCCATCGATTGGATCACCAGTAAAGGTGATCCACGGCTGAAAACACATATTATATTCATAATTACTCTAAATATCAGCACAACAATGTTAAATAATATAAATAAATATAGTTTCTATCATATTAAACGAATTTTATTCCAGAAACAGGCACACAAATCGGTAATTTGAATTCTACTTACTCAATCGAGTATTTAGAAAGGTTTCAATAGTCTGAATTTTACTATTTGAAGTATATAGTTCATTAACAATGAAACTGTTCGCTGTTTTTGTATTTCTATTTTATCTCGGTGATCCACTATACAGTTGTGTTGGGAAACGAATGAAACAGTTAAATTCCATATCATAATAATATACAAGTTCCCTTGGTTAATATCTCGTCATCATTAAATCGATCACTTTAAGCATGTTTTATCGGCAAGAGGCTTCACCAGTTTTCCTGAAATTACCTCTAAACAACTTACGTTTGATCGGAACATCTCGTCTTTTCTGGTAGGCATTTATAGGTGCTGAATTACATCTTTGTCGAGCCCTTAGTAATCTGTAAAAAAATGTTCAAAATGCACTGTTTTAAGCTGATAAATTTGAGTTGGTCTGTTTGATATGGTTTATATTTTGTTAGTTTTTTATTTGATTTATATATATTATATTTTATAAATATTATATAAATTGATTTATAATTTTTAACTATTTGATAATATAATAAATCAATTTATATATTGATATTTTTTTTTATAATTTTATGATTTCGTTCGTTGTAAAATATTCAGTTCTTGTTTTCTATAACAAATGATGAAAAAACAATTTTTATATATTAAATATTTTAAAGTATATATTCTAACACAATTTTCAACCAAAAAAATTGAAACTGATTCGCTGAAATTAGTTGTACACAAAATTTTTAAACATATTTATATAACTTGACAAAAACACAAATTCAGAAAAAAATTGACTTCAGCTTCGCACAAATCCTACGAAGCGAAAATTTCACCGTAGGCAGTATAACATAAAGTTTAATAATCGTGAACTTTTAAGGTGGAATATAAAGATGACTTATCAGAAGTATTTAAACGGTACTATAAGCATATACAATGTAGTTGACAAATGACTCTCATATCTGTACTAAGTCTCTTTTTGTTGTGGGGATGTATAAGTACCCGCCCACGTCTACTCTGTGTTTTTGTTAGATGTATATCAATTTTTATCCATATGATGAGTTAAGCCTTTTTCAACTGATATTTATAGTTTGTTCTTATGTTGTACTGTTACACCAATGTCCCAGGTTAGGGGGAGGGTTGAGCGCTCACAAACATGTTTAACCCCGCCACATACTTTATGCGCCTGTCCCAAGTCATTTTTCGTAAATTGTTTTGTAATAAATTAGGCAGTTAGTTTTCTCAATTCAATTGTTTCATATTTTTCATGTCGGAGCCATTTATAGCCGACCCGATGATACGGTATGTGTTTTTCTCATTGTTGAAGGCCGTACGGTTGCCAAGATTTGCTTACATCCACTTCATTTGAACTTTGGTGGATAGTTGTCTCATTGGCAATCATACCACATCTCCCTATTTTTATATTTTATAATTCACAAAAATCAATAAATTACATTTGTGGGGACCTCATTCTCAAATCCATATCGTCAAATTGTAATTAACTTGGGGAGAATAAAATAACTTGTTTAATAGGAGTAACAGACGGAAAAACTTTGGGCGAAATGAAGAAAACAATTCGTAAACAGTTCCGCCGAATCCTGTGTCTAGACTCCAATGGATTGATGTCGTGTAAAATTTGCATGTTAAGTGCCAAAAACTAAGTCTATTTATCAGTAAAATACGGATTTTTTTTTAAGTCCGAACCTTTTTCTTAGATAATACTTCCTGATCTTGGAAAAGCTAATGTCAATTTGAAAGTTTCATAACAATCCATAGAGATTGAACAAAGGTATGGATGTCTAAAAATATAATTCCACACTGTATGTAAATTTGAACTGCCAAAAAAAAACCCGTCCATTTATTAGTAAAATACGGAAAATGAGAAAAGAATTTTCTCAAAATTTTACTCTGTATACTGACTTTTGATCATACAAAACCTTCATAGCAAGTTTCATAATCAATTCCTTCTACATTCTAAAATTTGTTCAAATTTGAATTATTTACTACCCCCAAAGGCAGTATAAAACAGTGTTACATTTTTAGTTTTTCTCCCTCAATAAATGGCGGCGTTAGAATGCCAGCAACGAATAATATTTGCACTGTTTCTGAATTAAAAGCGAACCTGGTCCAATAATGGGTTCACTACTGATAGAGAATGGCAGTTTATGCATTACTTAATTTGTTATGAGAGTTAAAAACTGGATAAAATTAAAAACGTTTAATGGTCAAATTAGACTTGTATGCATGGCTTAAAAAGGTCATGCTTCTGAATTAAAAGCAAACTTGGTCCAATAATGGGTTCTGTGTTGATAGGGAATGGCAGTTTATGCATTACGGAATTTGTTTTGAGGTTAAACTGTCCACACAATTGGTAAATCAAAGTGCTTGTAAGCACTGGAGGATAAAGATTGCTTTAATTTATCAGTTGGAAGTAAAATTAAATATTGCATTGTATAAAGCATTGGTTGTAGTTGATTCAACTACAATTCTGGACAAAGGAAGATAACTCCAATTTTTAAAGATGACTTTAACGATGACATCATTGATATTTTTAGAACAGATATTAGATTCCTGCACCTTGCTAAAGTTGTGTAATTTTCTTGACAAGTATAACATCATTTTGTGACTTGAATATCTGAGCATATATTTTATTGATAAATTTATGGAAATGTTCATGGATAGGATGTATAGAATGTTATGATCAATGCACTATATTTTGTGTATCTCAAAGGCAGTGATAAACCTTGGAAGATTTAGATATCAAGCCAGTAACATAGGGTTCTGATTGCATTTCATGCAATCTTTACCCCAAAAAAGGGTAAATGGCCTGATAACACATGAATGCATCGCAGCTGAAAATCTTAATGGAACAAAACATATTTTTTTCTGAACAATTTTAGCCTTGAAATAATTATGTTTGAAAGTTGTATGAGGATTTGTTGTTTAAGTCTGCCAAAACTTTTTTTTTTATCTTTGTAAACAATTTTGAAACGAATAAAAGAAATCTATGGACATAAGAATATACAATTCAAATGTTAACTGTAGAAAAGGATGAATAAGAAGTTACAGTGACATAATACAGAAGAATGAATCAACACCGAACCTCCACCTTATAAAAGACTTAAGTAGATATTCTTGAAGTGACAAATAATCTATCATTATGTTTTCCAAATTAAACATTGTGTGACTTTAAAGGAGTATCTTAACAATAAATAACACTACAATCAAGAAAGTAGACAAATAAGTGGACATAAAATATTACTACGAGCATGAATATTGGAAGTCATCGATTGGTGACAATCAATATAACATATATATCTATAAAATGCAATTGTAATAAATACTTAGAGTAGAATACATCCTGATTGTTATAAAATAAGGTACTATTTATATCATAAAAAACTGTACCGAAGAATATAAAGGATTAGTTCCCAGTTGGAAATCTAGTGAACGAAAACAAAAGATAATTCGCTCTTCTTATCGGAAGGAGTCAAGAAAGTCAATAATAAAACAATGCCGGTGACGATACTGATCAAAAGTTATTTCTTAATAATAATTGTACATTTTAAAGAAATTATTTGTTAAACTGTGTTATTAGAAATATACATGCAATACACAATGTTTTATGTTCAGTATTTATCGAGATAATAACATTAGAAGCTTGTGAAACTGAAATCTAAAAATGTTAATCTTTGCTGTATATTGATAAAAAAAAATGGAAAAAATCATGTACATACAAAATCTAAATATCTTTCGGGTCGCCAATTTTCGGAGTGTTGCACAAAGTCCTTCGCATGTTACAATTTTCTAAATATACTTATTATTCACACTAAGTTTTCGAGTACACCGGTCTGCTCTTGTCACATGTACATTCAATATAGAAATATGGTCTTTTCGTTAATATAACAACTTAACAGTCTGTCTGTGCCGGTTAAAAAATTAAAGATAACTATTCTTATAAAGTAGGTATCTTTCTACTATTTTTTATACAATTTTAAGAAAAGGTCGTCTCGGTTTTTGTACATGTATTTGCGGTCTTTTCGATCTATTCATATTCAATGTTTACATCGGGATAAGGTCCGTTTGAATTTGATTGGTAAATTAATTTCAAAAGTGTTAATCTTTGCTGCATATCAATCGATTCCTTTGGATTTTTTTCTCTTATCTAGCTGCATATATATACGGATAATTAGCATGTTCCAGAGAGGTATGCAGCCAGTAGAAAAATAAATTGAAGTTGATACTCCAGGAATTTATTCGCATAACAACATTTTAAACCAATTTTACATCAAGCTTCTATAGCCTGCTGTACTCGTCGTTTGCTATCTAAGGATGGAAATGATAACATTAAATGGAAGTTTTGTTTTTATTTCAACATATTTCTATTTTAAATATTTACCAAAACGTTTCCCGTGAATTCATAATTGATAGCGTCCTTGCTAAAACGGGACAAACATTGAGAAGATCTGCTTTTCATTGTTTACAGGGAGGGCAATATTTTGTCATTAGATTTCCCACTGTTCCATGTGTAAGGTTTCAATTAATCTTAAAAAGGCTATAAAAGTAGTTAATAAATTTGACAGAAACAATCAAAGATCTACAAAAAAACATATACACATTATGAAGGATCTGAACAGTTGATTGCATAGGTACGGATCCAAAATATGGTCACTTTGGCCTATCCCGTTCCAACAATTCTGGCGACCAATATTGTCTATACATAGACATTATCTTTTAAGTCATTCACTCAGATCAAATCGAAAACAACTTAAATAATTTTTTTTTTCTGTTTTCAGTAGAATTTAACACCTTTTCAATTATCCAGAAATTTCCCATACATATAGTTTTCTATAAATAACACATTGCTGACTTATAGATATCTTTTTAGTTTCGCTTGAAGTCTGGTATCTCATTACATCTTTTTCACAGGAGGAAGTTGGTTTTCACAGGAGGAAGTTGGTGGTTTTTAAGTTTGTTCTTTGTATTTTTGGATAGATTATATATTTTTAACATTAAAATATTACTAAAGAAATTTAAAAATCATGCATCCATTATCCATTTGACAATAAATATAAATGTGAATATATGTGTATGCATAATAACCATGCTTGATTTATACAGAAGGGTCGTAAATAACGTTATCATGCATATTCGTGCAAGAAGCTTTCACCAACATATTGTCTGTCTGACACAAATCGCTGGCATGCTTAGTCGTTTTGTAACGTCAGATGTATTCTGTGACGCCATCGATAAGCTTTACCATTTCATTTGCATGTGCATTATGTGCGTTCTATATTCCTTAAACAATGAATTATTTTACTTACAGGTTACCTGAAAATCATATAGATATTATTAAATGCCATTTTTTGTAGTTACAAGCCTTCAAAATAGTTGTCCAACAATATGCGTAATATTTTATAGCTAATTATTATATATAATAGCTAATTTCTAAAACATTTTTGTCGTCTACCTTACAATAATTCTGTTTCTAACTTATATCTAAACAACTTATAAATATTGATTTAGGTTTCATGTCTTCTCTTTTTTTTTTAAATAATCGATGTAATAAACATTGTCAATATAAGTTAGTTCAAACCAACGTTAACTATCGATGTGATAACCATTGTCAATTCAAGTCAGAACAAACCACCTGCAAACTTTCGATGTGATAACCATTGTCAATTATAGTCAGAACAAACTACCTGTAAACTTTCGATGTTATAACCATTGTCAATTCAAGTCAGGACAAACCACCTGCAAACTTTCGATGTGATAACTAATGTCAATTATAGTCAGAACAAACTACCTGTAAACTTTTGATGTGATAACTAATGTCAATTATAGTCAGAACAAACCACCTGTAATCTTTCGAAGTGATACCATTGGCATTCAAGTAAGGAAAAACCACCGTTAAACTTTCGATGTGATAACCATTGTCAATTCAAGTCAGGACAAACCACCTGTAAACTTTCGATGTGTCAATTCAAGTCAGAACAAACCACCTGTAAACTTTCGATGTGATAACCATTGTCAATTCAAGTCAGGACAAACCACCTGTAAACTTTCGATGTGATAACCATTGTCAATTCAAGTCAGGACAAACCACCTGTAAACTTTTGATGTGATAACCATTGTCAATTCAAGTCAGGACAAACCACCTGTAAACTTTTGATGTGATAACCATTGTCAATTATAGTCAGAACAAACCACCTGTAAACTTCTGATGTGATACCCATTGTCAATTCAAGTCAGAACAAACCACCTGTAAACTTTCGATGTGATAACCATTGTCAATTCAAGTCAGGGCAAACCACCTGTAAACTTTCGATGTGATAACCATTGTCAATTCAAGTCAGAACAAACCACCTGTAAACTTTCGATGTCTTCTCTTTTTTTTTAAATAATCGATGTAATAAACATTGTCAATATAAGTTAGTTCAAACCAACGTTAACTATCGATGTGATAACCATTGTCAATTCAAGTCAGAACAAACCACCTGCAAACTTTCGATGTGATAACCATTGTCAATTATAGTCAGAACAAACTACCTGTAAACTTTCGATGTTATAACCATTGTCAATTCAAGTCAGGACAAACCACCTGCAAACTTTCGATGTGATAACTAATGTCAATTATAGTCAGAACAAACTACCTGTAAACTTTTGATGTGATAACTAATGTCAATTATAGTCAGAACAAACCACCTGTAATCTTTCGAAGTGATACCATTGGCATTCAAGTAAGGAAAAACCACCGTTAAACTTTCGATGTGATAACCATTGTCAATTCAAGTCAGGACAAACCACCTGTAAACTTTCGATGTGTCAATTCAAGTCAGAACAAACCACCTGTAAACTTTCGATGTGATAACCATTGTCAATTCAAGTCAGGACAAACCACCTGTAAACTTTCGATGTGATAACCATTGTCAATTCAAGTCAGGACAAACCACCTGTAAACTTTTGATGTGATAACCATTGTCAATTCAAGTCAGGACAAACCACCTGTAAACTTTTGATGTGATAACCATTGTCAATTATAGTCAGAACAAACCACCTGTAAACTTCTGATGTGATACCCATTGTCAATTCAAGTCAGAACAAACCACCTGTAAACTTTCGATGTGATAACCATTGTCAATTCAAGTCAGGGCAAACCACCTGTAAACTTTCGATGTGATAACCATTGTCAATTCAAGTCAGAACAAACCACCTGTAAACTTTCGATGTGATAACCATTGTTAATCTATAAGTTATGTGATAAACACCATAAACAGCAATCATTATTTCCATAACTTCTTTGTAGGTATCATTACTCGATAATGTAAATCTTGATAGGATAATATGGAAAAAGGCCATGGGATACCGCATTCACAGAGAGGTATAACTGCATATGCAGGTGTTACTGTAATGTGTTACATATAAATGAAATAATCAAAGTGGAAAATAAATCATTAACTATTAAAGATAACTTGCTCTGCATGAAAGTCTTAATTATTACCCAAAGTTAATTGTTAACTGTAAATATCTTCCTACTTTTAATTAAATTGTCTAACTCAATACATTACTTGCTATAGTTTATATTAATGGGACCATACATACGTAAATGCAAATTAAATGGAGAGTTATCAATACCAATAAAATCTTCAAAGTATTTTTTCGCAAAAATAAAACAAAGGAAAAATGTAAGTTGTATATTCGACTCACGTTGTTCTCGTTGGTCTCCCGAGTATCGGCATGGGGTCGGTAGAGGATACAACCGGAAGATCTGTTGCTGATAAATACTGATGTGGTATAGTTTGTCTATAGTAGAGTGATCCGCCTCGTTTTGGCGTATTAGAAAGTCTACCAGATGGCGTTGGAGTAACTGCTCTTGATCCCGTAAAGCTGGAATCATTGTCATGCTAGAAATAATAGAAGATAGAAATAAAGAAGTTATTTTCCGATTGAAATATTGACTGCTGAGTAATAAGATAAAAGCAAGTCTGCTGGTGTTGCCTTTTTAATAACCCCTTTTAAGATCCTGAAATGTCTGAATCTATTTTGAATACGAGAGAGCATACCAAAACTATAAAGGTAGCACACCATGTTCAGTTAATGTACCATTTGTCCAATTATTAAATTACAAAAATGAAGAGTGACATCACTTGGAAACCGCCTGAACATCATATTAGCTTTTTAAAAACGGAAATCAAGGCCCAAATGGACAACAATATACGCTACAATCAAAAGTTGTTGCCTTTTCAAAAGACCATGAAAAGGCTGAAGCTGCACAAATTAATTAAAGAATAAAAAATCAAATAATTTCATTTACAAATAGTATCGGTATTCAGAATCATAATCTTTATGTACTAAATTATCTATCAAAGTTTGACTCATAACAAGAACAGACATTTATGTGACAAATCCATAGTCTGAATAAAAATCGATTTACAAGATATGCGTTCTTAAACGAACAACCTGAATAACTTTACACCTGCTGCACTGAAACTTTCGCCTACTTTTACCTATATAACGGACAGTTTTCAATGTCAGAATGCTTGGACAAAAGACCCTTCAAATGCTGTTGTGGGTCATAAAGTTAAATTGTAAATATATGAAGTCTGATATATTGACCGTTTTTATTTGTTTATATTGATGTATGTTGAATGTTTTATCAAAAGCAAGTGTCGAGTATGTTATGAAGTTATTTGCCTTAGTTTAAATCTTTTGTAGTTTTATTGACGATAGTCCGTTCAATATTAGTATCAATAGGTAATAAGAGATGTTTAAAACAATGTCAATCATATTTTCAAATCAAAGTCACAATAGGTTCGAAGTATTATATAGTGGGTATAGTATTCGTACCAGCTGTGATGTAAAAGTTAAAGGAAATGTAATCAAACAAAAACTGTCAAACAACTGTGTAATATAACTGTTGTTATGTATAGAACGCCAGAAACAGCGACAAACTATATATTAAGTCATGTAGCTCCTAACGCTGCTACGTATTTATACAAACCAGGAATCACTTTCCTAAAAAGATCTAAAATTGATCGTTAGTATACTGAATTGTGTAAGACTTACGATCAATTTTAGTCGTAAGTTTTTTTTTGTGAAACTCTTTCCTGGCTTTCAAATGTTTATGTTTGAAGGTCCCTGATTAATGTAAACCCTGAAATTCGCTTTAGACGCACAAAATTTATAAAGCATTATTTTCATTATCAACAAAAGAACACTCAGCAACGTTGGAAACCTAATGAGCGTCGTCACTATTACACTATCTAATCCTTTTCTGGCACTGCACTGGTCTTGCGGTCATAAAAATTACGAGTATGATTAACGTACCCCGATTCAGAATTCAACCAACCAATGCATTGAACTTACCTTACAAGGACTAAGCAGTCTGTTTATATACAAAGGATTTTCGCCACTGTGGCTAACTTCTCTGTTTGCCTCAGCTACCCATCCTGGAGAACCATATCTCTCGACAAAATCCTCGTCTGTCTGTCGCTCGACAGAATCTTTGATCTGCTGGTGATGTTGGTCGTCTTTATTAAATGAGTAGGGACTAAGTGGGTGTTTTTTGATGCCTAGAAAAAATAATCAAAATGTTTGTAGATTAAAGTAAAAATGGATTCATTCCACCATGTTATTTATGTTAAAGACAAAGAAAAGTCAATACCCGATTTTTTAATGCACTATTGGTACATAAATTAAATGTACAATCAACGGAAAATACCTTGATGTCAACGGAAAATACCTTGATGTCTACGGACAATACCTTGATGTCTACGGACAATACCTTGATGTCTACGGAAAATACTTTGATGTCTACGGAAAATACCTTGATGTCAACGGAAAATACCTTGATGTCTACGGACAATACCTTGATGTCTACGGACAATACCTTGATGTCTACGGAAAATACCTTGATGTCAACGGAAAATACCTTGATGTCAACGGAAAATACCTTGATGTCTACGGACAATACCTTGATGTCTACGGAAAATACCTTGATGTCTACGGAAAATACCTTGATGTCAACGGAAAATACCTTGATGTCAACGGAAAATACCTTGATGTCAACGGAAAATACCTTGATGTCAATGGAAAATACCTTGATGTCAACGGAAAATACCTTGATGTCTACGGAAAATACCTTGATGTCTACGGAAAATACCTTGATGTCTACGGAAAATACCTTGATGTCTACGGAAAATACCTTGATGTCAACGGAAAATACCTTGATGTCTACGGAAAATACCTTGATGTCTACGGACAATACCTTGATGTCTACGGACAATACCTTGATGTCTACGGACAATACCTTGATGTCAACGGACAATACCTTGATGTCAACGGAAAATACCTTGATGTCAACGGAAAATACCTTGATGTCTACGGAAAATACCTTGATGTCTACGGACAATACCTTGATGTCTACGGAAAATACCCTGATGTCTACGGACAATACCTTGATGTCTACGGACAATACCTTGATGTCTACGGAAAATACCTTGATGTCTACGGAAAATACCTTGATGTCTACTTAGTATTAATGCAGTTTTAATGTTTGCAGATCATGAGAAAAAGAGTATACTTTCATGTTTAGGTATATTACAATCGGTTAACGCTAGATACATAGGCATTTTAATTTCACTTCAATGTCACGAATAAATGTATTCTTGTGGAATAGATTTTCGATTTGCTTTTAGCGACGACTAAAAGATTACCATAAATCAACGTTGTAAGTGATTTAAATCGACAAGCACTGTCATTATGTCGATCACATATTCGATTTCAAATGCAAAAAAAATATTATTATATAATACGCTGATTTATTTTGACCGAATGAATAGGATGAAGTATGTATGCTTTAAAATTGTGTAGTTTTTCAAGTCTTTCTTTGTTCTTGGGTAATTCTTTTATGTTGAGACTTGACAACAGGGTAACACCTTTAAACATAACGATGTTGAGTATCTTACATTACAATTCCTTACAAGAACAAACAGAAAACTTTCCAGATGAGGTCATATTTATGAAATCAATTAAAAAGAATAATCTATAATGAAATGATTTTTTTCAGTATTTATTGTAATTTTAAAAACATACATTCATATCTGGGACTATTACACTAACCATAATATATAAGTCCTAGTTTATATGAAGGATGAAGGATGAAATTTCAAAACAAGTCTAATAGAAATGCAAACCATATTTTTATATTAGGCCAGTAGGTTTACTTAAAATAACAAGGAAGTTAAACTGCAATATGACCTTCAAAATTATTAAGAAAACACGAAGCAAAATTTCTGTGTTGTTTTACTAGAAAATGGTAATTTTCCCTTTACATAAGAATTGAATGCTTCTTTTTGTAATTTCTTTGGAATGTAAAAACTTTGACCGAAGCCCATGTTGTTAGAAGCTTTCTGTGCATTTATGATAAAAAGTGCGCATGGTCAACGCTATTAAAGCAATTATTTTTATTATACCAAAGCGTTATATTCTTATATTAACATTTTAATGCTAGAACCATGAGTTAAATCAAGTTTTTTTTTAGTTTCGTTTTAAATGTTCCTACGCATTGTTTTAAACTTGCCATGGAGAACAACCATCTCACAACCTGCACAATAATTGAAATACACAGATGACACCCTGTTTTCGATATGAATTTGTACGGTCGTATATTATGTTTGACTGTATCAGTAAAGGGTGGTTGCTAGTAGCAACCACCCTTTACAAGCTTAGTCTTATCTTTTTGTGGGAAAACGCTTTTTGTTTTCTGTGTACAAGAATTTCTGAACCGTAGCCTAATTGTTATGAGTACGAGATATATAAACAAACAAATCATTATTTTTTTCAGTATAAAATACAAATGATGACATCGTTTGTATTTTATTAATTGCGATTAATTTACCTCCCGCCGAAACACCTTTCACATTTTATTATCAGTGTTATTACACTCAAAAACAATTATCAATATGCTATCAGAGGTGGTTTAAAAATATTAATTTAAAATACAGAAATCTGTTATCGGTTCTAGTCAAATACACAAACAAGTCTTCAATTGTAAACCCGTGTAAATGAAGTTATTATATTAGATCTATAATCTTGATTTTGTCTGGCTTCTAATCTGTCATTAAACGTTAATCTCTCATTAATCCAGGTGACTGACATCATCTTAATAAGGATCAGTAAGCTGTGAAATAGTGGTGTAGGTAAATTACAATATCTTACGTATCTTGAAATCTGACGGTGCAAATTAAACTGGAATATTGAAGGACAATCGTTAATATTATTATTAATTTCAAAGGCACTGAATAAAGACTCAACAGGATTTATCTCTAGAATTTCTGGCACACAAACAAGAAGCATATATATTTAGAATTGATTGTAACGGTTCCTAAACTGAAGTATAGGTCTTCCATACTCCAGGTTTTCAAATCATCAAATGGGTAGCTTGAGTGTAGAACAAATGGTTATCCAGCTGACAGAAATGTCTGTTTGGCTTTAAAGTACACGAATTCAGGGGCGGATCCCGGATTTTAGGTTAGGGGGACGCAAACTTAAATTTTCTTGAGGTAAAATTATCGAAATATTCTTTATTAAGCTGAGGACAACCCATGCTTTGCAAATTTTAGGGGGGCGCACGACCGCCACGCCCCCGCCTGAATCCGCCTCTGCACGAATTAACGTTATATATATGGAGGTTGTTTTATTGTTGGGGAAAATGCCGCTCTCTTTCCACGTCACATATTAGTTTATCTCGGAAAAAAGTTCAGACTGTGTTTCGCCAATGTATTGTAGTGAAAGTTAAAACTATACAAAATTGTCTAGATCTTTCTATTCTTGTAGTAGTTGAAAACTAATGTTAACTACCACCCAACAATGATTAATAAACATAAGTGAAATTGTCTGACTAAATATCATACTATAACAACATATTTCCTGGTTTCAACTGAATTACCTCGTTATAGGTATAGGGTTGGTGATTATAAGGAAGCTATTAAACAAAGTGTTCCTAGTGGTAAAGTTCAAGTCATCCATTCGCATTTTTTACGGATGCCATCATAATTTGTTCACCGTTATGGAATATTTGTGTCATAAATGACCGTTGATATGTCCTTATATTGTCGTAGCTACAATTCCGTCTATTTTTCCCCGATTGTGATTTTCACCAAATGCGACTAATTACCGAATTTGTGCTTGCTATGATCAAAACAACAATATCTCTGTATGGAACGGTATAAAACATTTTCATCAAATTTAAAGAAGGTTAAATCCTAAATAAATAGTATAAATTAGAATATGAAATCCTGACTTCATGTACAATAGTATATTATTCTCTAATGAATAATAATAAGTTAGCTAATACAAGTTTTTAATTTTATTTCAAATTTATATTTCTGTTATTGTTCAGTAATAATAAAAATACTAATAGTGGTATTCCTTTTTACATGCAGCTCTATTCAATTCTTTAATACTTTAAGCAAATAATGCTCATCAGTACAATGACATGTAAAATATATATGCAAATACATAACTGATAAATAAACACAAGTCATAATACATAACTGATAAATAAACACAAGTCATAATACATAAATGATAAATGAATACATCAGAGAATATTGATTGATTGTTGGTTGCTTAACGTCCAGTGGCAAATATGTCATGCATGTTCAGGACGAGAACAAATTAACAATAAATACAATAGGTAGTTCCTATAACAATAAATACAATAGGTAGTTCCTATAACAGAGGCCGTCCGGGATGAAGGTCGGGGAAATTCGGACTACCACGGGAAGATGAGGGTATATTGGATAGGGACAGAAATTTTGCCTTACAACAGGCCACCTGCGGACCCCATCAGAGAAGAATAATGATCTGTATTATCAGTAATAGTATATATACAAGGAAATGTGGTATGATTGCAAATGAGACAACTAGCAGCTATGGGTCTATAGCTAGTCGAGACGATCAAGCAAGAAGTGCCGAATAAAATTCACTAAATGATATCATAACAAATTTCTTCCTGGCAATGTGTGACATCTTTACAAACTATTATGGAGATAAAACGAAATATGAAATAACAAAACCACCTATTATGTCCAGTTATTCATGATAGTATATACAACTCTGCAGTTGCATAAAAATGTTTATCTTGTATCTTAGTTTAATTTTACAGTTATTTACAATGATACTCTTTTTTTTACACAGGTTAAGTTATTGTGATTCTGTTTTACTCAATCAATACTTGACACAAAAGTAGCTATGTTCTTGCAGTGTAAAATAATCTTACCTCTTAGACCTCCGTGAGGTCGTCTGCCATTGGAAAGAACCTCATTCACATTGTCTGAAAAATTCAGGTCCAACAATTTTAAACGAGGTCGTTTTCCATTTTGCGATCGAGGGCTCTTGTTTGTCATAACTTTTCATACATCCCTCCAAAAATAATTTTCAGAAATTAAATTTAAATATTCCAACTGCACATATCAAACAGTTAAATTAAATCAATAATATCGGCCATCTTGTTACACCTGGTTGTCAGGGGAAATAGATTTTAAGGTCATAAGGTAAACTTTAAGTTAGACATTTAAATTACATAGAATAAATATTGATACATTAAAATTTACATAATAAAGAATTATATTGATGTTCAATTGATTGAATTACTAAAGTTAATCCGTCACCCGGTAGAATGTGACTAGGTTATCCAATAACCGATATCTAGTTGCAAAAATAGTATATTCACAGTTAGCTCATCGAAATTACAGGGCAAAGTGTGTGCTGTATCAAACTCTTGTCCGTCAAACGTTAGGTATGTTAATTGTCCGTATAAAACTCGACAGAGTGACAAGGAGGTCATTATACTTCCGATGTTTTAAGATTTAAGTACAGACTGTCATTGATTCTTTAATTCAATGCAATCGGCCATATCCGAGAAAAAAAAATCATTATGATTATACGTATTCTACCTGCAATTTTGGTTTTAGTTGGAATTAAAGGCTTTCACTGGTCTTTATTTTGGTGTTCTCGGTAAAACTATTTTTATAGTATTTTGATTCATAATATGCAGGTCTGTATAGTGGCGTATGCGCACGTAATACTTTGATGACCAAAAGGCATTTTACAACAGGAATACCGACATTGAAATGCAAAGATATTTTGTCCTTAAATAGTTTCTCTGTATGACTAAATTAATTTATTTTATAGAGATGTACACAATTTACTTTGACATTTCATTCTACGGTTCTACCCATTGGGTTTTCTAATCGACTCCTGCAATATAGCTTTTTTGCATCCGCTTTATACGTAATCTCTGTTTCTATAAGTTTGATATGAACCTTTGTCGCTTTGAACTTGTCTTTGACCTATTTCATATGTTTTTATGAAAATTTGTATTTCGTTAATTGTTTTGTTACAAATTAGGCTGTTAGTTTTCTCAATTGAATTGTTTCATATTTTTCATGTCGGGACCTTTTATAGCCGACTATACGGTATGGGTTTTTCTCATTGTTGAATGCCGTACGGTTGCCTATAATTGCTTACACCCACTTTATTTGAACTTTGGTGGATAGTTGTCTCATTCGCAATCATACCTCATCTCCTTATTTTTATATCTATTTAAAAATATTGCCGCAGATCTTTATGATTTAATTCGTATAAGCATTAAATTGGATTCAATCAAAATAGAACCTACAATAATTAAACTTTAGAGATTTTATATATTTCAACTTTTTAAAAAAGTTTTGTACAATATGTATCCAAATCAATCCCTAAACTAAGTAAAACTAGATAGTTACTTTTTTTTATTTCTTTGCTCGAGAAATTTCCCAAACATTAAATTATTTTAAATGTTAGTTATACTGCACAGCTCGGTGACCCGTTGTAACATACACCGACTTGATTGTTATATAACTACAATGAATTACATATTTTTGCTTTCGATAACAATTAATTCTCTACTTATACTGCAGAAATTTATATCAAGACACTAATTTTAAAAAATATATAATATGAACAGCAATAGTTGTCCTTTGATTTTCAGTTTGATATTTAAGTTACACACTGGAAACTCTATACTAAAATTTATGACTAAAGTGAAGAATTTTTGTTCTTTGTTGTCAATTTGTACTTCTTCGTGGATGGGGAGTTCCTTTAGTGCCTTCTTACTGTGATCATACTTCCAAATGCACTCTACGTCAGGAGGATTTTTTAAATAAATATCCTGGCCTTGTACGAATTGAAAATAAATAAAATTGGCCAAGACAGGAAGAAAATGAATATTCTGTCCTTCAAAATACAGGAAATTTTCATGTACAAATTCAGAATAAATTGTGTCTATGCCTAAATAAGTCAGCTAAGCAACAGGAGAAAATGACAATTTCGCCTTCACAAATCCTCATCCCCCTCCCGTGGTAGTCTCCTTATATGCGCTCTCTATTTTCTTGCGTTCGGCCAGATTGTTTATTGAAATCGTAATTTGCCGTATTCATACCTATTTTCCTACATACTTATCTTACATCATATTTTGATGTGCGGTGTTGTCTTATTTGTATTGTTTCTGTATAAATTTTTACAGTGAGAATATCGGGCGATTTGTGACAGATATCTTTGCCCTATATAATTTATTCCCGGCAAAAAAATCTAACAAACGCTGACATCAATTTATTGATATTAGCCCGAAGATCTTTTCTTCAATATGATAATAAGGAAATGTGGTATGATTGCCAATGAGACAACTATCCATCAGAGTTCAAACGAAAAAAAGTATAACAAAAATACCGAACTCCAAGGTAAATTCAAAAAGGGGAAGTCCATACAAACCGACAAAATCAAACGTTTTCAACCAATGGAACAAGTGAAAAACAACTGTCATATTCCTGACTTGTACAGGTATTTTCCGAAGAAAATGGTGGGTTAAACTGGTTTTATATCTAGCTAAACCCCCACTTGTATGACAGTTGTTTATATAGTTCCGTTATATTGACAAAACTGGGTGAGCAACCTAAACAGACATAATAGGTAAATGTGACAATAATTGGGATCCAACAGCCAAAATTGTGTAAACATACATGTATACATGTAAGTGTAATCCCACTATGTATTGGTTACCTAAGCTACACAAAAAACACGTAAAATATCATTTCATCTCGGCCGCTAGTACTAATTCTCAGTGCTTTTAACGAGTTCCTTAAATACTATCAAAGAACTTATCATTTTTTGTAATAAAACATATGAAAATAGTGGAATTATACGGAAGCGTATTAGCGCCACACGTTTTTTTTTTTTTATATTTCTTCCTATGTTTGCGTTATAACGCAAACCTTTGCGTTATAAACCAAACCTTTTGCGTTATAACGCAAACCTTTGCGAAATAACGCAAACTTTTGCGTTATATTGCAAACCTTTGCGTTATAACGCAAACCTTTGCGAAATAACGCAAACCTTTGCGTTATAACGCAAACCTTTTGCGTTATAACGCAAACCTTTGCGAAATAACGCAAACCATTGCGTTATAACGCAAACCTTTGCGATATAACGCAAACCTTGGCGAAATAACGCAAACATTTGTTTTATTTTATTTCTTATTTAAGTTTCCAAGGAAGCAGCTGTTATAAATGGAAGAGGCTGCATATATTAAAATTTATCACCCTTTGTACTCATTGCAATGTAAAATGCTTGAGTGTTTAGCACACATCATGGGATAATAATGAGCAGGATAATACATGTATATATATATATATATATATTACAAAGAATATTGATTAAATTGAAGTTATACCGAAGAAAATAAATAATCAACCCCGCTAGTGTAGCCGAATTTAAGTATACTTCCAAAGTAAGCGCTCGTTTGAGCATTGTGTAAGATTGGTTAGATTCGAACAAGCTACCCTTTTTCCATAAATGTATAAGATGAAGATGTTTTTTTATTATTATAATGTTCTCTACATTCAAATTGCTACCCAAGCATCTTAAATAGCTACCTCACTAGATTGAAATTAAAATTCAATGACTTTTTTTAAAGAATCTTGATCATATTCTGAGATTTCAACAAACGATTTCTTACATCAAAATTTAAAAAGAATGTTTTTTTCTGAATAATAAATTTTAAAGCAGAAAGATCATTTTGTCTATTTGACTTATAGTTTCACAATTGTATGACATTATTTTTGTTCTTATCTAGTTTACCACTTTCCGTTATTCAAAATTTTCAAAATCTTGGCCTTTCAATCAAAATTTGCCTATACCATATCTATTTACTTGTTAAATTTATATAATCTTCTGATGCATAAACCATTTATTAATTTGTGTATTATTGCACTTCAAGTATTCCTTTATTTCTATGCATATTTATTATAATGATTTGGCCTTGTGTTCATGGTTCTTCTCTTAACTAAATCACAACCGAAATTTGATGACAGACGGACATGCAAATGCCGACATTCACAAAACACTGCTTTCAAATTATATAATAAACATAAAATGTAAATTTAATATTATATATAGGTTTTTATTATTAAATATTCAAAACTTAATGAATAATTAAAATCAAAATGTTTGCGTTATAACGCAAAGGTTTGCGTTATTTCGCAAAGGTTTGCGTTATAACGCAAACATAGGAAGAAATATCAACAAAAAAAAACGTGTGGCGCTAATACGCTTCCGTAGAATTAACCATTTTTGGAGTGTAAAACATACTTTGGATGTTTTAGATAAATTACGTGCTTTGATGGTCCTTTTGATTCGGTAGACAATTTTGACTTTTCCACTCTTTAAACTACACTTCCATACAATCTTATCAAACAAAAACTTTCCTATTTAATTAAATGATTGTTTGATAAATCTGATTGCAAATTTATTTCCTGCAGCTCATATTAAGCCTTTTTCTCGATTGAGAAAGATCAATATGCTAGATATACTTACTGGAGGTGTGATGATATGATTAAAGCCGCAAATTTTCTCCTACACAACATATATTTACGTTTCGGCAATAAAGTTTATCGACAGGTTGTAGGTATTCTTATGGGCACCAATTGTGCCTTTTAAAAGAAGACTTGTTCGTGTACTGTTATGAATAACAGTGTATGGCCAAACCCAGTAAAGACCCGTCTAAATTCCATTTAACTGATAAATTCAACAACACTTACCATCTTGATGATATTTTTTCGTTAAATAATCAAGAATTCTCTTAATATACAGCCGAAATTTATAAAAACTAAACTATAAATAAATCAAATATTAACAGCAATAACTGTCCTTTCCTAGATTTAGATATTTCAGGTTTACAGCAGAAACTCTACACAAAAATTTACGACAAAAGGGATGATTTTTTTCCTTATTGTTAATTTTCCTTTTTGGACGGTGATGTTCCTTTGGCACCGTCTTACGGTGTTTATATATCCCAACTCGTTCGCTATGTCCGTGTCTGTAGTGACGTTTTGGATTTCAATGAGCTATATATTACTAGTATAAATAATTAAGTCAGGGATTCGTTACCACAACTTACTTAAAACCTGTACTAAATTCTTCCATAGATACAAAGATTTGGTTTGCAAGTTTGGCTG